AAGCAGACTCTGATCAACATTCCCTGCACAAGGATGAGGTGAGGGGGGCGAGAACGAGAGTTGGGGATTACAAGTGTCATGTCGCTCAAAGGAGCAGACCGCACTATCTAAATAAACACGTTAAAAATTGCAAGAGTGCAGGCATAATAGGATGCTACCGGAAACGCAGATAACCCAGGGCGGAAGGGGAGATACCATAACTGTTTAGCATACGTTTGGTTAAAGGATCGGCTTCACTTGTCTCTTTGACGAGTAGCTGTATGGTGCTTAGGATGACGATACTCACTGACGATGCCGACTACGATGCCGGAGAAACGTTTGTAATGTACCACGTCCACGGCTCAACTTTGGAAATGATCATGCAGACAATGGACCCCGGACTAGGTGCGTTCCAATAAGTCTTCCTACCAATGGTTTCGAAAACAAGGTCAAACAACCTCTATACAACGAAAGGAGACTGCGACCACACAAAAGGCCACACCATCTTGGTCTTCAAACCTTCGAAAAAATGTAAACTTGTACAGGCATTGAGATTTACGTCTGCCCTGTAGCAAATGGTATTCGTGGCAATGTGGCGTAATGGAAACATGTAGAGAACAGACGTTATTCCACCTGTATTTAATGCCCATTTAAGGTAAGGCTAGGTTGCATTTACTGGTATCGTGAGACCAATTCAGCTATCAGTCCTTCCTCAACTTATATCACTTAGGGGGAAAACGATTGTTGTATCGAAGCCTACTAAATCTGAAAAGATTACATCCTAGCACGTTTTGACCTAGATCGAAGAAGATCCGAGTCGGGCACAAATTAAATCAGAATGTTCCAGTACTGCTAAGCTTCTTCCGGTGGGATCGACCTTCGAATCTCTTCATTACACACCTTTACTCGAAAAAGAATTGAATACGATAATTGTAAGACAAGAACTTTCTAAGAATTCAACTTTTATTTGTATACCATATCTTTTTATTTGGCTCTATTAATGTCACAATTGATACATTCTTATTCAGAAAGCTAACTTACTCAGCCCAACGAGTGTCTTGCATTGCACAATCGCATGGGTGAGTCTATATTCCCAAATAAAGAACAGATAATTAAGCCCTAATCACCTTTATATATACGATTTTGCTCACTCAAGGCAATAAGTATTGCCTCATATAGCTCAGAATACGCATATAGACAAACACACACGCCTTCATGCTCGCAGAAACACGCACAGGCGCACATCAGTACAAATAGTTATTGTAATTGGATAAACAATCGTTTCTGTACCTGTAATTACTTTTGTAGCACTTTAAATATAAATAGCAAGTAAAGTGTGATTTGCTAGTCTTTTGTCTTGTTGTTAGCTCAAGCCTGTTAATCGGGACGCATCCATCCTCTGATAATGTCTGTCATACGACAAACGAAAGTTCCGCACAAATTGAACTTAATCGAGGATTCTGCCACCCTGAGCATCCTAACAAAAACAATACGACCGTCGCCTTTTTGTGGGATCGACTTTAGAATCTCGCCATCGTACACTTTCATTTGAAAAGAAAGTAAAGTGAATGCAATGCCAGTCATGCCAATCGTTTTAAGGGTCTTGGTACCGATGGCATCATCTCTCGAATAATTTTGGCTAGAAACGATTCTGCGGAGGCTTTAGTGGAAGTAGAGCTGCACATTAGCTCATGCGCTAAGTCACCCAAAGTTTATGGAAGAAATATGCTTCTTTGCTTCATTGTAAGAGTCCTGTGAGGCCTAATGAATAGTCTCTCGACAATTTATGAACACTTTATATTGTTTGGCATAGAAAACTGACATTCACATGCAGATGGGAAAATAAAAACTCGCCTTGATACCGATTCCACCGACTTCTCCTCGAACGCCTCTTTCGCCCTGTTTGCCGGAAGTACCACTGCGGCCGCGTTGCCCCTTCACACCCTTCATACCCATCTGGCCCTTTCGGCCAGCCTCCCCGATCGGTCCCTGGTCACCTTGCACACCCTTTGGCCCCTCTTTGCCCTTCATACCCAGACGCCCAGTCGCTCCGGATGGGCCGGGATAGCCGATGCGCCCGACTGACCCCGGGTCACCTCGTTCTCCCGGGGGGCCAGATCGACCGTCGATGCCCGCTTCTCCCTGAACAAAGCAGAGATACAGGTTATGTAACCAAGCTCAACGGCAGAGGGAACAAAAATTTCCTGATTTATTGCTCAATATTAGCCTAAGATGACGTAAAAATATTAATATCGCATAGTATTCAATATACAAATTTTTAGTGAACTTAGCAACTTGGTTCTAAATTGACCATCAGTACCGCTAGATTTTGAACTCCGTGAATTGGTCCTAACGTAAAGCAAAGAAATGAAGAGTATTAGATTGTACAAGAAAGTCATGCGACTCCGATGAACCCGTGCTGAGCTTACGTCCATCGTGTGGCAGACATCCTCAGAGCAAAAAACATTTTGTTTTGATTTAGTATGTTGTTGCACTATTTGGAAAATATAGCTTCTTGCCTTTATGTTGTCTGTCACTGCAGGACGGACGTAAGCCTAGCATAGATTTATCCGAGTTACAGGATGGTGGACTGAGAATATTTTCATTTAATCCTGTAGTCTTCACTCAATGAAAGTCATCGTTCGGTTTCCAGTCAGATCAATTCACGAAAGCCTTTCAACCAACTTTTCCTTCAAAG